GGCAGCAGCAGGACAAAGCTATCTGTGAATTTTTAATGCTCAATAACGGTTGTTATATCTCGAAAATTAGAGATGGATCCAGTAGATTATACAGAGCTTTGGTGCTCTTATAATAATCTAAGGTATATTTGAAAGTGTTCATAATGGAGACCTACAGTGCTCTAGCAAAGGGTGGGATAAGCGACTGGGAGAGAGAATGGATAACATGTTATCTACACAATCACAATAGACATTTAAATAGAATCAATAATACTTGTGCTTTTAAATGTCAGACTACTTGTAACTTCATAATGTGCCAATCACATGGCATTTATGACCCATAGAAGGTCATCAAGGCCCGGTGAGGAAATAATATAGAAAAGTATGGTCTTCATGTGTAGTTAAATGACAGACTAGTGTTGTTTGATGTTTGCTATAATTGCAATAGAAAAAAGGGATGGGACTCTAAAACATGCTGAGAAAACAATCAGGGTTGGCTTGCACCCTCAGGAACACCCCGCTGTGCCAGTGATCTCCATATTGTAGATGGCTGTAGGCACCATATTGCAGCTGAAGCTTGGCAGATGGGATGAAACAAACGGCCACTGGGCAAAATGGAGAACGAAAGCAGCTTTCCTGCTCTTTGTTAGCCTGCCAATAGTTACAATGAAATAAGATAACTGAGAATGGTAATTTGACTAGACTGTTGGTTCACATGTGCAAATGAAACATTAAATTTGTATTTTCTGTTATCTGTAAGGTAAGTAATTGGAAAAAAGGAACAGGAGACTCAAGTAAGCTCCAGAGTATTGGTAAAGAAGTCTAAGACTCCTGAAGGCATGAACAACTGGGGCTCAGGACACAAGGGAAAAGAGGATGCAGGCTGGAGTTCAGTTTCTATTTTCCTTGGTACCTTTAGACATGAGTCTCACCATTAGCTTCACTGGATATCTCTTCTTCCATATGTCACAAGGAAATCTGTCTCATGCTTTAGGCTATAACTGGGTGGTGCAAGTCAGGGAGGGTTTTCACAATCAGGCAAATACCATGTGCCTTTTTTTTTTTTTCCTTTCTTTGAATTACCAGCTCGTGGACACTTACAAAGGCAGGATACTAGGCTGATCTGGTAATTCCTATCCTCTTATGGGGCTACCAACCATTACAACTTTGCAGATTGCAGTCCTTGAGATGTCTCCAAAACAGGCTCCTGATGAGTGTCCAACCACTTGCCTCCTATCTGGTATTAGTATTGGGTTCCCCAAAAGCATGAAGGTTACAGGAGCAGCTCTGATAGCCCCACACTTTGTGAAAGATCTCACAGGGAATAATGAGAACAAGCTCAAAAAAACCCACTGCAAAAAATACAGCCTTTCCTGCAAATTATGATGATTCAATATCCAAGAAATGGGAAGAACCAATGGCCAATGATCTCTTATCAAGAACTCATCACAAACCAAAAGAGCTAGGAAAGGCACAGAAGCAACCAGAAACTGAAGAACAGAACTGAAGAACTCAAGTCATTAGGAAAACTGTTGTCATAGCAGAAAAGATAGTATTCCTTTCACCCAAGGAGCCAGAAGCAAGATTCTAGTTGCAAGAACTTGAAAGAAGTACCTGCAGTCACTCTGGTTACATGGCCAATTCAAAGCTGGGTCAGCTCAGGAGGAAAAAAAAAAAAAATCAACCTGGCACTCTTTGAACAAGTTTAAGTTAAACAGAATAAACAATAGATCAGAGGAGCAACAGTGTTCATTAACCAGAACAGAACTGAGCACCAAGGTAAGCTCCATACCATGAACACTCCCTATGAGAACTGGGTGAAGGCAGCGAAATAGCAGTTAATAGGACAATGCCAGATGTCTCAAAGGGACTTCCAGATGCCTTGGCTCAAGAACATTTCATAGATGCTTTATTACAACAAAGGGGAAACTGAAGATAAACAAACTGCTCTAGAACAGGGACTGGCAGCCCACAGGCTGCAGCCGGATCTGGCCCATGAAGAGGTCTGATGGGGGAATGGCATCACAGAGCTGTGCCATGCCCATCCTTTCCGCACCACCTGAACTTACCTTTGCTGCAGATGGATTGGGAATCCAGCAGCTAGTTATTCGAAGAGGCAGAGACTTTTAACCTTCAGGGATGCCCAGGTTGCAAGCTCTGGCCGGCACCAGCAAGAAGCCACCTACCTGTGCTCTAGAAAAGTTAGTGGAGTTATGAAGCAAGCAGTTTTCAGACATGTTTGCCAAGAAAGAAAATGATCCATACTGCAAGGCCAATACAGAGAGCAATGGGCACATTAATACACTATATGAAAGAAACAGCTCTGCTTAAAAAGATGCAAGAACTACCACTGCATGTACTAGCAAAAAGTACAACCCCAAAGAAAATTCTGCAAAGAAGGAGGTAGTAGTGGTATTAAGTAGGCTGAAGCTAGGATAGCTTCATGCAACCAAGAAAACACAAGAGATGACAAGCACTTGGGAGAGTACTCAAGGTTGAGGGATACAGTGAGTTATTAAGTATAGACCTAGGCCATCAACACCAAATTAGCAAAGCCTAGCCTGATGAGGGCTGAAAACCAGATGGTTCACAATGAAGAGCAACTATGAATGCAAGATCACATTACCCTGCTTTCAGCAGATATTAATGCAGCAAATCCATAGAGGTACTTCTACTGGATGATACAGGCAGGAGCAGACGGGTGAAAAGTCGCCAGAATGGAGGATTCCTCCCGAGTTAGTCCCTTTGCCTACTCAAGGAACACTTTCAGTTCTACACTTTCACCAATAGGTGGCAATCACCATCTACATACAGGCTACAGTTTCACATCACACAATAATGGCAGCTGCATCTTAGCAGGGGATCTTTATATCTTGCCCTGCCTCCACCAAACAGCTGTCTGAGGAGGCTTGCCTTCTGTCTTCCACCACAACCATGGACAGGTATGTTCTGCAGTGCAGGAAGCCCCTCTACCCGTCCCCTGTCTGGCCTCAAGCATGGGCTGCTAGGGACTCCTTGGATATGTCTAAGCAGTGCAAAGCAGCACAATGCTAAGACATGAACTGCTGCTAAACTCCTATGCTAGAAGTGTAGCCAGGTCAGTGCAGTACCGTGTGCATGCCAAGAAGCTCTACTTGAGAGGCAGAACCTATTGGCTTGCACGCAGCACCTCACTTATGCAAGCACACTACTTTTCGTTTAGGAGCTAGTGTGTGGAATAGGCATAGCATTTCAGCATGGCATGTGTGCAACACCAGGCAGACAAGTCTGCAAATGCAGCTCTGACTGTGGGGGCTGGGCTTCAGCAGAGGGGTGCCCTAGAGCAGGGGTGGGCCGCATGCAGCCCACCAGGCCATTCTATCCGGCCTGTGGGGCCGCTAAAAAATTTAGAAAATTAATATTAATCTGCCCTGGGCTGCCTGTCACGTGGCCCTCGATGGCTTGCTGAAACTCAGTAAGTGGCCCCCTGCCTGAAATAATTGACCACCCCTGCCCTAGAGTCACCTGTTACAGCTTCAGTCCTCTGCTCATGGTGCTTAGCTCAGTGAGGAGGTTCCCTCCAAACCAACATAGCTAACACTCGACATGTAGAGAGACAGGCGCTAACAGATACTAGCCAGTCCTTCCTTCATGTGGTATATACACTCCCTTGCTATTTGAGCTGAAAGGATGGGTCAAGTGAAATTGTAAGCATCAGGGCCCTACACCTTACACCAAGTATGTGCAAGTGAATCGTAATACATGCACTTTCAATTTCTCATTAGTCCTTCTAAATAAGTGATTTACATTTAAAAAAAAAAGAAACAGAGGTACATGCAGCATTGGCACTTCTGCAACAACTCCAATCTTACAACCAAAGTTCTACTGGGATTCAGTCAGATCAGGTGTACTGTTTTTTACCTGCAATCATATTGTATCATCTTATGTGTGAACAATGGCATGTGGCTGTAACATGAAATGCATAAAGCCCTGTCATGTATCATTAGTCACATAGCCACACACACTGCTCTAAACACTATAACCAGTGAGCGCTTGTAATCCAAAATGCCTGGCAGCACTTTCATGAGCCCACAGTATTGATAGTGTTAGAGTTGCATTGTAATTGTGATGGTCCAGGAATTATGTGAGCCAAGGCTTTTGTAGGGTGATATCCTTTATGGAACCAACTGCATAGCTGGGCTAGACTTAGACAAGCTTTCAAATTCAAGACATTCTTCATCAGACAGTTCTCTAGCTTATGAAGAACATCTTGTATTTTAAAGTTTGACTATGCAGTTAGTCCAGTAAAAGTTATCACTCTAAGAAATCCTTGCCTCCACAGAATTGAAGCATATTATAGAACTGAAGCATCAATTCTTGTTTGGGGTTAAGCAGTCATAGCTATTTGGGGCTTGCTTTGTTTCCAAACTCAAAACACTTTTTAGTAAGCCTCCAGAAAACATACCTGCTGCCTTTAATGTAATATAATGGTTTGGCCCCTATTTACATAAAAATCTGCATTAAAAGGATGCTGTACATAGCCTGATCCTATAAAATTAAAAACGTTTGCAAGATGCAGGAATAGAAACAGGACAGCTGCTGTCTCAAGTACAGCTCTTCCACCAAGCTTTTGCACTTTAGGAAGAGCCCTGTGGATGTATTTCATATGTGACCATGAAGATTCCTGGCAGACAGTTCTAACTAAGGCAGCATTTCAGCCCCTAGCCTTATTATGGAAAGGGGGCCTAGCTTGCAGAAAAGAGGGGTTTGTAACTGAACACAAAGCCCTGTGCCTTTGATCTGTATCCTTCTGGTGTTTGGACTTTTTAGTGCAACTGCCAAGAACAAGGTAGAGGTATCCCTTCCTCTCACTTTTCCCAATACCAGGACAAACATGCTTAAGTGATGAAGCAGTTCTTGGAAAAAGAATCACTTCCCATTTTGAGTACCTGGCAGGAGAGAGCCTAAAAATAACTGCAGGAAGGGGTGGGTAGGAAGGGCACAAGTGGTGTTGGACTGTGGAGAATAAATACATGAACAACTTTTTTGCCAAGGTGGAAGAGACCATTTTAATGAGTGGGATTTAAATAAAAACACTAAACTGTTCTTGGGGAAGAGCTCAGATAACCAGAATGGGATAAATATTGTGTGTGTGCGTGCAGTGGTGGGTGGGCAAGGGTGGAGATGGAGATGCAGTTCTTAAGAAAACAACAAGCTGTCACCAACTTGGATGAGCTTTATCACTAAATTAGCAGAAACCAGCTCAGTACATACTCTCCAGATATAAATACTGGTGGCTCAGTCAGAAAAAAAATAAAGATAAAAACCTAAATCGGAAGGCGCTACATTAGATTAACCAGCAAATACTGAGTGCTGCTGCAGCCACAGTGACAGGGGAGATGGGAGAGGTCTGCCAGCCACTTCTGGGGCTGGAAACTGCTGTGCGCTGAGGGACCACTGGTGATGAGGGACTAACTCAACCAGCATTTTGTCCTTTCACTGGGCAGCAGGGAGGTCAGGCTAGGGAAGAGGTGGTGTTGGTGGCGGCAATGGAGGGTGAAGGGCAGCACTGGAGGACATCACTCCATCTCACTCTGGTGGCTAGTGCAAATAGTCGTCCACTCTGGCAAAGGAGCAGGAACCCAAGCCCACACGAGCCATGAGCCGCAAGCACTCTGAGGCCTGGCCCAGGGCAAGCATCAGGGGGGGCTGCTTTGGCAGGTTCTGAGATTCTGTGGGGAAGAAAGAAAATATCACTTTAGAATGGACGTACTGCAGCAATGCATGGGCCTTGCCCCTACAGTGAGCTACACTCGCGACCTCTCAGCCCCTCACCTACATGCTGCAAACAGTGCCAAGAGGCAGCATGCTGTCTTGAGAAAAAAATTACTCACCACTCAGAAGGCTGCTTGTGCAACAGTTTTGCCTCTGCACAGGCTCACACACCCACACATACCCACCCATCCAGATGCTCTTCCTGGCACCACAGAGCTTCAGGAGCCTCTGAAAAGTGGCACTGCTCAGGGCCATGTGAGTGCCCCATTGTGGTGCCAAATGTTGAGCCAAAGCAAGAAAAAGGCTGTGCTGCATTCTTGCCTACCACTGAATCCTGGGTATGCAAGAAAGAAGAACTGGGAGAAGAACGGGAAGGTGGGTGGGGAATAAAACCAAAAGAAGTGCCATACTGGGTCAGACCAGTACCCTGTCTTCAACAGTGGCAGAAGTGGATGCTATAGACTACAGAGAGAGCACTGAACCAGACAAATCTAGAGTGACCTATTCAATACCCTCCCTATACCTATACCAATACATATTCGATACCCTCCCTGCCATCCACCATTATAAGTTAAGAGATGCCAGAGGAAACGCCTCCAACTGTTCTGTTCAATAGCTATTAACTGATCTATCATTCATGAATTTATCTAGGGGTACTGAGTAAAATTAGCACTATTAGGGGTGCAAACACCCACAAGTGCTTTACAAGATAAACCAGAGACTTCAAATAGGAATCCATGGTGTAAAAAACACTCTGGCCTCTTGTGATCTTTCTTAGTTCTTTGCAACACAAGAATTCCTCTATTATTTTTCTGTATTCAAAAAATGAGTGAGAGCTAAGAGTAGGCATTTTCTGAGGGGTGCCTTCAATTTAAAAAGGTTGAAAATCACTGCTCTAATTCTTAGCATCCCTGGTGCCATACATGTCCTGTCCTGCTCTATCAGAGAAGAGCTAGTTCCAAGCTATCTCTTCCTACATGGGCCTTATGTTGCTTAGTGGCAAGCTCAGTAGCAAAGGTTTCTGCACTAATGTGTTTCTGGAACTGGCCAGTTCCCTTCTGAAAGGTCTCTGCCCTGTGGCAACTACACACTATGGGTGTCCAAAACTTGCTTTTTCTGGACTGGCTTCCCTCAGGGGATTCTGGAGTGAAAAGCCTCTGCCCTGAGGCTGGAGATGCCTGCATCTGCTGGAGAAAATCCAGGAGGCAAATAAAGAAGCAGCTGTGGGCATCTGTCTGGAGACACAAACGGACCAGATAGAAACTGCACAAACTCAGGGCTGAAAATTGGGGCAAGTGGCTGAAATGCACAGATGTACAAATGGCAAAAGAGGCTAGTGAGAAGAAAGCAAACTGGCTACAGAAAATGCTTATTACAGCACCTAAACACAGAGCAAAACCCCCTCCACGTAGCTAAGCATGGAAAGGAACAAGAAGCAGTGGATGGGGCCAGATGGCCCTTTCATAACTTTGGCTCCATTTATTCTGTACACCTGAGGACACAGCTTTCCAGAAAGCTTATAAGGCTCTGTGAGGCTCCACCTTCACACGTGGGAGAATGCAGAGGCAATGTTCTTAGAGCTCTCATTTAAACAGCTGAAGGTCCCAATGGTCAGTGAAAAGTCAACAGCAATTACAATTCTGCCTCCCTGCTTTCCAGTCCTTCTTGCAGCCATCTATGGACTGGAGACTCTCATACCATGATACAACCCACTGTAACCTACTTTGCAGAGGATGTGAATCCCAGTGATGTGACACCATAACACACCTTCCCTATCAGAGACTGAGAAGATGTTCCTGGTAGATACCTGCAATCCTATAGGTGCTAAAACACCAGGACTACTTGCAGGGCTGCAGGCTGGGCTATCTGGTCTCCCTCCTTCTCCTTCCCCTGTCCTCACCCCTTACTTAGGTCATCCTTAAGCTGTCATTGTCACCACCCTTAATCCCTCTGATCCATTCCTATAAGCAAGATAGACATGGTACTATGTCACACAGTTATCTAGCCCCTGCCTTACCCAATATAGCACTATTGAGTGCAGCACACACAGGTTCCCTCTGGATCGGATCCAACTGTTGACCAACAGGACAGTTCCAAGGGTCAGAGTACGCTAACAAGCTAAAAGCATCCTGGGGGAAAGAACAGAGGCACCAGTAGTAAGGTGAGCAGGCCTGCAAATAGACAGGAAAGTGGGGAGGGCTGCTAGTAAACTGGCAATCAAGGCATCTCTGCAAAATCAGTAGGTAGTAGGTATCTAGATAAGAAAGGACACTGCTCACACCTGGGCAGGCAGCCAACAGTGGAGGGAATGCAGAGCATCACTTGGAGCAGGTAGCTACCCTGAGAGGGCAGGCAGGAACTGCAACCCCCCATCTTTTCTCTGTTGAGGGCTAGACACAGACAGGGCAGGTTAAATGAATTTCATTTGCTGATCACATCGCTATTGTCCCCTGTGCAGACCTCTGCCCCTCAGCCTCCTTGGATTCTGCATGTGAAGTTACAGCTCTGCTGCTAGATGCTAATTCTGCTGTGAGCATACACGAGGTCCAGCCTTACCTGAAGCATCTTTTTGTGCGTCGTGTTCTTCCCATATTCTCTGCATAGCTGCTCACTCAGGGTCTGCAGCTCCCGCCCAAACTGGATCATTCTCTCTGTGGCAGCATGGTTCCCTCCACAGAGCTGCCTCTGGGGGCAGCCATCTTCTAAAACAAGGGCCAGAGAAATAACTGCTGGGCAGCATTCCCTATTGCCACCTGCTCCACTACAAACAGGGGAATCCCAGCACCCAGCCATTCCCCAACTTCCTAATTCTGAGCAAGGGGAGGGACAACCAGATGCCCCTCACTCTACAGAAAATGGGCAGGATCCTTATTTGAAGGACTGTCTCACAGAGTGGACTTCTGATCTGGGAAGCTAAGCTGTCTGACAGCAGGGGGTGCTTGCGTGGTATGGTACAGACACAATACAGTAAAGGCTGCCTGTACTTAGCGACCATGTACACTGGGTTTAACAGGAAACTTCTAGAAGCAAGTTTGCTGATTCAGTCACAGGAGTTTGGAATGTTATTTGCAGTCTTATCACCCGTTCCATGTCAGAGACATACAAAGGACAACCTCAAGCACTGAAGCCTTTTACATGCAGAACAGTTACTGCATGGGCCATGGCAGTGCCAGAACTGAGCCTCTCCATATGATGTGGCCTGATCTGGATGGATTCCTACAGTCCAGAGTACAACTGTCCTTCCATCCTTTCACTCCTTGCTCCCCTTGGCCGAGGTTGCCAAAAGGAAAACAAATGTGTTTTTGTTATGTCAACACCCAGGAAATAGAAAGACCCCTCATTACCCCAACTCATTTGATCAGATTGTGGTAATGGTCAGGACAGTTCTTAGCTGGATTTGAACAAAGCTCTTTAGCCTGGTATCTCCACTCTACTGCCCTCTGCTCCCTTGCAGTTCCTCAAGCAGCAAGACCCATGTGGTATAAGATAATTTTTAATAGAAATCAGCTTTGTCTGTAATTCACTTGTGCATTGAAAAATTAGACCTACTTGAGTCCACTCTAGAGAGACCTTTCTCCAAAGCCAAACAGTGCACCAAAATAGTGAATAAGCTGCACAGCACCAGGCACTTGGCTCCAAATGGCCCCAGAAAAGGCCTGGGTTCATGCTAAATACCCAGATGGGTCAATTTTTCCCTCCATACTAGGGAACCTAACACTCATTCACGCCATAGGCTGAAGCACAGATTTCAGAATAAGCCCCCCCACCCCCAAAGGGAAAGTGCTATAAATGTTAGCTCCTTTTTCTGTTCATAATTTTTATGTGGTAGCAGGAACCTACCCATGCTGGACTCATCAGTCTGTAGGATCTCTTCATGTTTGTAGGTGCCGTTCATTATTCTGGTGGATGAGTTTTCAAGGACTCCATTAGGGTAATGTTCAGCTTCCATCTCCATCTCACTGTCACTAGAGTGAAAAAGAGAAAGAAAGGCCAGATAAAACAGTGATAAAGAGTGGAAATATTCCCAAGACAGTGTATACCTAGTGGCTGCGCAATTAGGGTTCAGAGCTAGATACCCACAGTATCTAGCAGAATCTAGTAGTCCACAGAAGATGAGACAACTGATCCGAGTCCAAGAAAACCAAGTTTCAGAACACTGAGAACTGCAATCTGTCAAGCAAGTTCCCAACCTGATGGGATCCTTCAAGACAGAAGGTGCAAAGAACTTCCAAAGATACCACTTTAAAAAAAGCAGCTATCCTTGGGGTGCGAGCAGCAAAACACACTGCACAAAGGGGAATTTTTAGATAAGGACAGCGAGACAAAATTGTGTACTACAAAATTTTCTTCACCCCAAATCTTCTAATATTAAGACATAACAGACAGGGATATTATGAATTTCTTTATTTTTACCTCAACACAGCAAACTGCTAAGATCTGGATTTGTCTAGCACAGAAAGCTAAAATGGTGAGATGATTTTGCTACAGTTTGACCTCAAGGTTTCAAAGACAATTGGCCTTTTGGATCTGAAGCTTAAGACTAAGAGCCATCTCCTTTGGCATGAATTTAGCAGTGCCAAGCATTTCTGAAGAGGATTTGTAGGACTCCTGCATGGCATTCCCTGCTTATAGTTACATGCAGTTTGATTCTGTGGCAGTCACGGCAGAGCTGGTAGCAAGGTTTCCTGGCAATTGTATTTATTTAGCATGCTACTAGTGAGCAGTGTTAGCTCGCAGTGACTGAGGCCCCCGCTAATCAAGATCTCCTCTGTTCCAGCATTGCCCCAGACACTTTGCAATAGCCACCCAGAGGGAACTGGATTCTCACCCTTCATTAGTGCATTTTAAATCCCATAGTATAAAGGAGGCACAACTGTCGAGGCTCAGAATCCCTGGGTGTCCTAAAACTCCCTATGACTCAATGGTGAATGGATGTCCAAAATTCACAAAGCCTTTCTTATTGGTTGGCATGGGCACATAACAAACTGCTGTTAACTCACCCACAGAATGAACACCCAGCCCTGGAATGTAATCTCACGTAAAAGGGAAATGACTCAGCCACAAAAATAGGAGGCCCTGGAGAAACTCCTAGTGCATCCAGACTCCAGCTCATTTCATGGGGGGAACACACAGCTTCCTGGAGAGTAAGTGATTATGTGGTGTCCAACAGCAATTACTTTGGCTGAGAGAGCAGCAAAAGAAGCAGAGTTAGATTGGCTTCTCCCTTGTAAATCATTTCCCAGGCAGTGAAAACATTGGAGTGGCAGAGTATCGGCCGCAGAGGTATTTGGGGAGCATTTAACTTAAGTCTATCCCTATCCCCAGTGTTTAACCCAATGAATGGAAGTGGGGGGCAGAAAATCCTGGTTTTGGCAGGGGTATGGAATTGAAGTAGCCATTTGCTGCTCAGCATTAATTCCTGTAGCTGCTACCAGTAGCCCCGGCAATGGAAGGAACACACAGAGAAGGACTAGGTCTACTCCCATTATCTGGTCGTCCTCAGGCATCTTAAAGAGGAATACCTGGTCTCTTGGTTACTCGTACTACTGTGCTGCTGGGATTTGGTGGAATCTGTTGAATTTGACTCAGAGTAGTTCACAGATGAAGGAGAGGATGAGGAGGAGGAGGAAGATGATGAACTCAGGGCTGGGTATTTACTATGGCTCTGTTTGCTTTTGGTGGACATGACTCCATTGCTACAGCTTGGACTGTCTGCTCCTGAAAAAAGAAACAAGTATCAAAGGGGATGGCCTAGGCAGCTCTAATCTGAAACAAGACCACAGGCTGTACATAAGGATCAGCATAAATGAACTCAGACACTAAAGGAACCAATGGGACAAAGTGTTGGGCACACAAGACATCACAAACAACTTGTTTTTCTTAGAGACTGGAATTCTTACTCATCCCTGCAGAAAAAAAAAGTGTACAAGCAACGTACAGGAGAGAACTCAATCAAAATTCAACAGCTGCGAAAAGTAAGTGAGCACAAGGAATGGTAACAAATTTTCCTCAAACTGCATCAAATTTCATCTCGTGATGAAACAGTCAACAGCATTATAATTTAATGATGGTTACCATAAAATTAAAAGAATTCCTACTCAATAGACATAAGTGAAAGGAGAACCAACCCCAAAACTATATAATCACATGCCACATACAAAAGGGGATAACACTGGTTATGTACTCAAAATCATCAGCTTGTCACTAACTAGGTATGTGGGCATTAGCATTTTCAAAGAAATCTGTATTACATATCACATACACGTAAGTGAAGAATATAAATGCACTGCTTCATGTGGCTATTGCTAATGCCACATTAAAACATAAACAAGCTCAAGAAAAGACAGTGTACTGCAGTAAAACATTCAGCTTTCTGAAGCCTACACAGATGAGGACAATGTCATTTTGAAAGTGAATGAAATCAAGAAGATCTGAGTATGTGGGTGCAGGAAAGTAGTGGTGCACCGATAAAGATTTTTTGGGCTGATACCGATGACTGATTATTAATGAGCCATATTGGCTGATACCAATCCAATTGCCTATATGCAGTCTGGCAGCTTGGAGAGCAGCGTCCAGCTGGTGAGTGTTAGGGGGAAGGTGGGGTGGGGGGTGGGGAGGGTCACAGGGGAGGCAGATCCAGGCCCCCCAGGAAAGTAGTGGTGCACCGATAAAGATTTTTTGGGCTGATACCGATGACTGATTATTAATGAGCCATATTGGCTGATACCAATCCAATTGCCTATATGCAGTCTGGCAGCTTGGAGAGCAGCGTCCAGCTGGTGAGTGTTAGGGGGAAGGTGGGGTGGGGGGTGGGGAGGGTCACAGGGGAGGCAGATCCAGGCCCCCATGGTGAGGGTAGGCTGAAGCCAGAGGCTGTGCTGGGCTCTTCCCAGCGGAGGGTGGGGTGGGTGGCGTTGGGCCAGGCTGCGCTCAGGATGGGCGGCAGTGCTGGGAGGGGAGGCTACGGTGAATTTTGGGGTGGCTGTAGCCCACCCTGTAGCCCCCCTCCCAGTGCTGCTGCCTGCCCTGGGTGCAGCCCTGGCCCAACCCCTTGCTGGGAAGAGCCCGACACAGCCCCTGGCCCCAGCCCACAGCAGCAGCCCACCTGGGTGCAGGACAGAGCTGTGAGGGGCTCGTCCGGGGAGGGGAGCAGGGCTGGGGGGGAGGGGGCCGCTCCCACTGCTGTGCACATCCCCAAGGGAGGCATGGGAAGCATGTGGCCCACAGATCTGTGTGGGGGGCAAAGGCAGGCTGCCACTGTAGGCTGAAGCCAGAGGCTGGGCCTGGCTCCTCCCCGCGGGGGGGGGGGGTGGCGTTGGGCCAGGCTGCGCTCAGGATGGGCGGCAGTGCTGGGAGGGGAGGCTACGGTGAATTTTGGGGTGGCTGTAGCCCACCCTGTAGCCCCCCTCCCAGTGCTGCTGCCTGCCCTGGGTGCAGCCCTGGCCCAACCCCTTGCTGGGAAGAGCCCGACACAGCCCCTGGCCCCAGCCCACAGCAGCAGCCCACCCTAGCCCCACACACAGAACCGGGGAGCACATTCCCCCCATGTCTCCCCTGGAGGTGTGCACAGCAGAAGGACACCCTCCCCTTCCTCCCCTCCCTGGATGAGCTGCTCACTCATGGCTCTGTTCTGCGCCCTGTCCCGGCTGACCAGCGCCTGCCCCAGCCCCACTCCCTCCCTCACCATGGAGGCCTCTATCTGCCCCTCCCCACACCCCTTCCCCAGACCCAGACTTACCGGCTGGACACTGCTCTCCAAGCTGCCGGGATGCACTCCTGGCCGCTTGAATGCTGCGGCTGCACGCATGCAGGCGTCATTTATCAGCAACATTATTGGCCACATCAGCCAAAAATGCTGATTGCCGATAATGTCAATTTTCCTTTTATTGGTGCCGATATGATATGGACTGATGTATCGGTGCACCTCTACAGGAACATGTTTTGATGGCGGCCTGGGCTGATCTTCCTGGATTGAGGGGCTTGCACTCTGGCAAAGGCAGTTGCTGTTGTACAGTACCCATGATGAATCAGGTACGAAGATACCATGCTAGGAAAAAACAAAATGCAACCAGCACAATATACATCAATACAACAGAGGAGCTCTAACAAGACAGAGAAAAAACAAAAGACACAGTAGAAATTGCAGTTTTAATGACAAAACTCAGCCCTGTTAGAACATAACTAGTATCTTATTCCTGAAGTCCAATCAGTGCTAAATTAGATCTAGACATCTGTCCACTGAGAACTGGACACAGACACAAATCAGAGATCAGTACATGTGAATTCTTTCCACCCTTTTTATTAAGTATTTGATGCAGAAATTTTCTAATTGAATACAGTCATTGCCACAGGGAGGGATGCATCAGTTCAACTGCCAGAAGGGATGATGCTGACCATCTAGTTAGAGAGGCATTCTTTACTATGCTCACATCTTGTGGTTGAGCTAGAGCATATTTTTAGAGAAACATCCTGTTTCGATATGTAAATATGTGCACTGAGAACCCAGGGCTGGAGAAGTGGTTGAAGGGAGCAGGGCTACGGAGCAGTCTTCCAAAAGCAAAAAAATATTTAACAATGCTCTGGCTTCTTCCATCTAACACTTGCAGCTTTTTCACATGGAGCAGCAGGAGCCTTGCAGCCAGAGGAATTAAGATTGCCAGGTGGAGAGCACTACAGCCTCAGTTAAAGCTTTTTCCATTGGGAGCACAAAGCTTGAGACTACAACTATGACTGTTTCACTGGCTCTCCAGTTACCGAGTCCTGCTTCCAGGGCAGCTCTGTCCCTGAAGCTTTCCATCAATCTCCATCATGCTCTATACAGCTGGGGGTTTTTTAACTTCTCTCTAGTACATTATCCTGAAAAAATCTGTTGTACAACACATTATCTGTTAGAGATAACTGATGAGAAGTTAATTATAGGCCGTATCTGTCATAAAGAGTACCCTCCAATAATTGAACATCCTCCCTGCTGGTGGTAGGAAGGACAGATGTTTTTCAAAGAGTAAAATATAAAAAGCAGTTTGTAATGAGCAAAATGACCCATCCCCAGTACCAGCTCCATTCAATGTGGAGATGCAGAAAGGATGCCACTTACCAGTGCTATGAGCATGCGAGTTGTTTGATCCATGTCTAGGGCTTAGGCTGGGGGACCCTGGGTAACTGTCCTGGGATTTGGGGCTACGGGCACTGAAACAACGCACTTCACTGTCTGTTCCATTCACCATCTCCACAAACTGCCGGCACCTGATTTCATAGAGAGGAAGAAAGAGAAAGGGATGGGTAAAGCTTCTGCACTAATGCTTTGTTTGTTGCTCTATGTGAAGTCTTAGAGCAAAAGCAAACTGGAATCAAACATCCTTGAGAAAGCTAGAGCTTTCACAAGTCCTCACACCTTCTTGCTGAGATTTGGGCAAAGCTGAAGCAGGAAGGGAGTTGAAATATTGCTGCCTAGAAAGAGATGTTCCTTGGCATTGAGGCCTGCATAAGGAAGGACAAGTAATGATACATAAAAATTGTCATTTTAGCAGTGGATACCTATTCTGTAGTTTACCACCTCCTCTAAGGTGATCAGGCAAGTCCTACATGCAATTGACAAGATGCTGCAGCCTCAGCTTGGATCAGCCAAGGCCACAAATCACATTTCCAGACAATGCAAAAGACCATATTATAGGATCCACAGTGCTGGCTATGAAAGCACAAGATACCACAGGCTCTAGGTGATGAAAAGCTTCATTAATTTAGAACAGTATGAGCAAACATGGCATTTTGCTTCTATGGCAAGGAAGCCTGAACTGCTCAAATAATATTCCTGCAGGTTAACCAAATGCATCAATGTCTGGATTGATCGGAACCCAAAGGAATTCTCACAGGATTGCAAGCCAAGGAGCTGGGGAACTGGATGGTACTGCAAAGCTGATCTTTCTTGCCTCTCAAGTGTTCTCTCTAAGCCCCAGGGTGGCAGATTTATTTCCACTGTCCTGATGAAGAAGGGTTGCTCTAAAGGCTTCAAAAGGATTGCAGCCTACCCAGAAGAGTGCACTACAGAAGGGCAACACTCAAGGGCACCCTCTGGCATTGCACTCTGACAGGGACGGAGATAAGGAAAGGGGAAGGGGGTATTGTACTGCTTGTTATTTTTTAAATTTGAATAACATGCTTTCTTGGTGGGGGGGAGTGGAAGAGAGAGGTTAAGTGGGTTTTGAGACAGCTACAACCTCACTATGAGAAAGGAAGGTATGGGCTTGGGAGGGACAGTTATGGAAGAAGGGGATTCCTCTGTGTGAGGTAGGGGGCTGTGAGTAGATTGGACATACTATAGGTGGGGGGATGGAAGTTGTTACTTTACTCCTATGGGAGCAGTGAGGCTGTGTTGGCTGGAGGAGATGCTCCCCTTAATTAAAGGCAGGAGTGAGAAGGGGTGGAATGACATGGACTTCTTTTTGGGGTTTTGGAGAATGGGGATGTTGGTTTTGCTAGATCCAGCCAAGAGCCATACCATCTGCCCCCCAGTGCTACCCTTGGGTCTGATCAGACCCACACAGAGCATAGCATGCTTGTGGCATGGGGCTGGTCTACAGGCCAGATCGAGCCCAGGGACACCTTCCCGTCCCCACAGCATATCTGATCCAGTGGCTACTCCAGCTGGTCTAGGACTCCTGATATGCATGACATGGATCCTGGAGAGGCCAGAATGGGCCATACCGTGCCCCACACAGCACTCTGGGATCCATTCCACATGCAGCAAGAGTCCCAGACCAGCTGAAGCAGCACTGGATCAGGTATGCTGGGGCAGGGGGAGGGGAAGGGCATCCCTGGGCCCAATCCAGCCTGGCCCAATGGGCCAGATGAGTGGTGTGGAGCTTATCCTCAGGCTGGACATGCCTGATCTAGCAGGTCTAGAAATGCTTGAGGTGCTACTGCAAAATGGGAATTGTAAAAACACACCCACAAGGGAAGGATAGTGAAGGTTCCATTCTCCATTCAGATCTATTAGGAGGTAGGTATGCTTGTTACATACCCTGGATCAAGAGTTCTGGGGAGCTGCTGTGGGCCGGTCAGCACCCCTTCCTTCCTTCCCTCCCCCCCGCCCCCGTAACAGCCTGGATCCCACATGCCAGTGCCAACAGTGCACAGCCTCCAGCCTGCCCTGCCTTTCTAGGC